CCTCCCCCCCCCCTCTCCCCCGCCGCGGATTTACACCACACACCCCCTACCACCACGGGTGAACGTCGTGGCTGGTTTTGGGGGGAATTTGCGCTGCGGGTGGAGGTTGTGGCAGCGCTGGCCTCGTCCTCTGTGGGGTCCGTCACCTGAAAGGCGCAGCTCAAACGCACTCGCCTTCCCCAAATCCTCGTACAGTGATTATTTTTCTCCCTCACCTTCCTAAAACAATCCGGGCGGAGGGAGAAGAAGAAAAAAAAAAACCCACGAAAAAAACATAACCCGGTCCTTCCAACTGCAGTAACTAACCGAAACGCTCCTGAGGTGCCCAATTCCCAGAGTCTTCTTTTTTTTTGTTTGTTTGTTTGTTTTGCTCCGAAACTCCCCGATACAGTCGCTCAATAAATAGTCCCTCGGCAGGGGATGGGTCGAACTCACGCTGTTCCTCACGCGGGCGGGGAAGGGAACATGGCTGATGGCCTGGCAGGGTGCGACGCATCCCTGGGGCGGCCACTGGGTGCCAGTGGGGTGGGCACCAACCGCCCTCCCCGCGGCTTCCCGGGGAGAAACCCGGACTGGCTCCTAAAAAAGTGGTGGGAACGGGGAAAGATCGGGTGGTGGTTTCGAAGCAGAGCCTGGGATCTAGACAAGATACTGCGCTTTTTTTTTTTTTTTTTTTTTTTTTTTTTTTTTTTTTAAATTACTATTTTGTGGCGGCGGGATACCTGGGGAGGGCGCACGGTGTTCCTGCTCCTTTGCCGATGTGAACTGGGGTTGCGCCCGGCTGCAGTTCGGGGCTTTCTGCCCCGCTCCCGGAGAGAGGTTTGTGTTGGGTTAGATCCGTGCTGATCGACTTGATGAAACTGCTGCTCGTGCTCTGTGGGAGATCCGCTAACTGATGGGGAGAGAGAACCCCTCTCCCTGTGCTCCCCGTCTTCCCGAGGCGGCCCGGGAGCGCTGCCAGAATCCTGGCACTGGGCTTAGTAAAAACCATCAATAACTCTAGGCAGGGGCTCATCAAGAAAAGTGCTTGGCTTCGGGATGGGTTTTGCTGAAGGAACTGTGAAGCTCTAGCGGCATCTACTGTAATAATGAGAATTTTAGTGTTTTCAGTTCTTCCTGTGACCATGGTCGGCGTGGGGGTGCTGCCAGATTGGCACCAGCCCTCTCAAGGAGCCACTTTTTGTCTCGATGCCAGTCTCCCGGGCTTAACTTTGCTGCGGATTTGTGCTTCTGTAACTCATTTTGCAGACAGCTCTTATGTAATATTGGGGGTTGCCACTTTTTTGGCCACTGATATAAAACGGCTGCGAATTGGGCAGCTCCACCTTTGAACCTGTAGGAATTGAAGAAGCCCAGCTGGATTTTGCAGGGCTGGCTGTGAGCGGGCTGTTCGCCATCCTTCTCAAGAGAGAGCTTCAAAGGCAAAGTCTTTTTGGTTTGGAAAAACCTCTTTTCCTTGGAAAAAATGGGGAGGGCAAGGAAAGCCGTGTGCTCATCAGATGTGATGGCAAGCATCCCTGGGGAGAGAGAGGCCAGCAGCAAGCACTGTGTTATCCCTCTCTCTGGGCTGGTTATAACAACCAGGTTAATTGATTATTACCCTGCTGATCAGGTAATGAACCTGTGTCATGTTTTTATGCTAACTCATGTTTCAGTTCCTGTTCATCTGTTGAATGGGTGTAAGATGCCTGTTGGGGTGCTGGCTTGTGATCCTGTTGGTCTGTGGGGACTTTCTGATGAGGCACTTGGGAAGTGATGGAGGATGGGGTGTCAATCTGTGTGTGTCATTGATTTTTAATTCCTTTTTTTTAGTAACAACAAAGATTCTTGGTGAGAGCGGGTGTTTCAAGCACTGGCCCTTCTGTTTTGCAGGGGAGTGTTTTAGGGACATGGCTGGTGTGGTCGGTGGTGGAGGCCTTGAAGCCAGCTGGGTCATCTATGGGGCTGAGCACTGGCTTTGTGGTCAAATTTAGGACTGTCCTACAGGGTCATCTTCTCTGTGGGGCCTCTGTGCCAGCTCTGGGCTTTGAAGCAGCAGGAAGATGTTTCCTATGATGTTGAGTGAAAAAGAGCAGAGAAGGCTTTAAAAAACCCACCAGCCTTAAGGTGCTGGTGGAGGTGCCCCTAGTGAAGCAGATTTGTTGTTCTCTAGTTTGCTCTTGGAAAGTGTTAAGGAAGGTCCTGGTGCTTGATGCACATCGCTGTTGTGCGGATGTGGGTGTTTGGCCCCCTGGCCTGTAGCTCTGCTCGGCATTTAGAGCTCACATAGGGTGGAGGCCTCAGAGTTGTGGTGGGGAGAAGACAACCTGCTGCAGAGGGCTGTCCTGCCCCGGGCAGGCGGGGGTTGATGCACCCTCTGCTCATGGCTGTCAAAAGATGCTCTTTAGGGTGACTGGGCGTGGGGGTGAGCAGAGGGAAGAGCGGGGGAGCTTTGGTGGGGTGTTACAGATCGGGAGATGACTTCCCAAGCACATAGGCTCCAGGATTGCCTTGTCAGCAGGAGGGGGATAAGGATTTTTGAGGGGAGGCGGGCAATCTGGCTCGCTGGAATCAATACATCTGTCTTGCTAAAAGTCTTATTGATCTGAGGCACAGGGTTGCATTAGCACAGCCACAGCGGTACCTCCCACGGAGTCCTTCCTCCTCCTGCTTCAACTAGGATGAGAGAAACTGCTGGGGAGCTGCTTTGGCGTGGCCGAGGGGGACGTCTCGGGACCTCCCACCTCTCCTTCCCACTGGGCTGCAACGGGAGCTGCAGTTGTGTTGTGTAGAGAGCCCTTAGCTTCCACTTGATGCTTGCAGAAGGTCTCCTGGGACTCTGTGGGAGTTTTTTCTTGGTGTTTAAGTTGGTGCTTGTTAAGCCATGCTGATGAATTTGTTGTGTTAGACTCAGCACTGCCCTGAGGAGCACTTAAAGTGGAGAGGAACCCATCCTGGAAACACCAGGAGCTGTGAGTTGGTGTTGGAGGCCGTCTCCCTGTGACACCTCATCTGTGCCCCTTTAAGAGCAGGGATGACTGGTATTTAATAGCCCCTATCAAACAAGATAATTAACAGCTCTGCCTAATTATGAGAGTAGTTCCAAAACTGCATCAACCTTTTAAGCACGTAGGACTCCACCTGGGTAAACAGTTATGGGGAGATCATTATAATATTCTCCTCATCTCTGATGCAGTACCTGGGGACTTTGGGATTATCTGGCTGTGGATTTTATTTTGTTGTGGAAGCAAACAGGAATTTAGTGCGACTGGTGTCCCAGAGGAAGAGGAGCTGTATGGTAAAGGGTGCAGCCCAGGTCCTGGAGCCGCTGGCACTGGTGTGTGGAAGAGGATTAAGGGAGGTAGTAGCATTGAGGACTCCCATTTACAAAAACCGGTTCCAGAGGGAGAACTGGTAGAGCTTTGCCTAAACTGTGTATTGCCCAGTGTCTTTGTAAGGCTGCCTGGAGCTGGTCCTGCTCCTGCTATGTCCCTGGGGTTGCTTCTGGAGCAGGGTGGTGGGATGTGCCCGGCCAAACTGGTTGCAGCTGCACAGGATGTTTCTCAAACCTTACTTCACTGAAGCAGGAGGCAAAGGCCATGGAAAAAAAAACAAACCAAAACAAAAACTGCATGCAGTGCTCTTCCCTTCCTCTCCAGCCAGAGCCCTCCAAAGAAACCTGTTGCTGATGCAGCTAAACTCCAGCCAAGGTAACTGCAGTCCAATCCCCGTAAGCCTGCGCAGATGCCAGCATTACTCTCTAAGGAGATAACGAGGACATTTTGCTCCTCTGAGCTGGGAGCTGGGCAGGATGGAGGGAGGACATGGCCCCTGGAAGATGCCATCTCCAGCAACGGTTTCATTTGCAGCGTTAAACCCGAGATTAAACTCCTTTGCATGGTTAGCCTTCGTTACTGTAAGGTGAAGCTCTTCCTATTACTAAAATATAATTGCTTTTGCTTCTGGATGCTCTGGTCTCTTAAAGGCACTTCTTAAAACAGGTTAAGTGTAGCCTCTGAACCTCAGGCAAAACAGTTTTTCTGCCAGGCAAGGGAATAAGCTGTGCCTTTCTGCCTCTGAAGTGTTGTGGAGCTCGAAATACACTCTTCAGAAAGATTGCAAGCTCTGGATGAGTAAGAAACCAGGGTATTTCTTTCTTTTTTAATTATTTTTTCCTTCTCATTGTGCAAAGTGACTTACTTGCCGAGTTTGGGTTTGTTTTGTTGTTTTTTTTTTTTTTTTTGGTTGGTAGACGATAGAACTTAATGCATTAAAAAAATCCTCTTCTAATGGCTAGTGTTGGGTGTATAAATCTCTCTGGTTTTCACTTCAAGTTGTTGTATTAAATAAAGTAGCTGGAATGAATTGGTGGTTTCTGACCCCTGGGGAGAAACTCTTCAAAAGTGAATAAATATTGCTAGTGTGATCACACACTGAGTGAATGAATTGGCATAAATCTTCTGGCATAAAACATTCTGGCATTTCTGAAAGTGATTTATTCTTCAAGGCTCAGGGAGGATTCACCCTTGGTGGGTGCCTGTGTGCTGGTTTGGGGTTGAGGGGCGGGTGGGAAGGAGAGAGAAGATTTTGTGTTGTGTAGAAGAAGTTTCTATGAGTAAGTGTGAGGGACAGGGAAAATTTGGGGTTCAGTCCCAGGACATCCATGAGACCTCTGCTGCAGAGCTCCTGAACCCTGTCTCTGCCATTTGCAGCTGCTTTTAGGAAAAGCAGGTTATATTCAAAGGTTGTTTTTTTTTTTCCCTAATTTATTTTGGATTATGAATCTGAATTATGTCCTGAAGGGCAGGGACAGCTCGGAGGCCACACTGGGATTTTTCTTTAAAGATGGGGCTGTCTTGGTGAAAGAGCTGAATCTGTTGGCATCCCCAGTCTCCTCCTGATCCTGCCTTGTCATTAGCGGCCATTGTGGAGGAAAAAAAAATAAATGTAAAATATAATTGCTTCAGCTTGGGGATGGTGCTGAGGGCATGGCTACCTCACCAGCAGCTCGGGGACCTCATCTGCTTCCTCGGATGGCACTGAGGAGAGAAAAGCAAAGCCAAACTTGGGGTTTTAAATATTGTAAATTCTCTTGGTTATATGGCCTTGAGTAGGTGTAAGGAAGGTGAGAGATGGGTACTGGTGGCTTTGTGAGCATCTCCTTCCCTTCAACGGGCAAGAGATGGCTGAGTTTGCCCTGTGCTCTCCTTGTGCAGATGCATGTCCTGCTGGGGTCTTTGTGATGCAAAAATAACGGTGTTTTCTTTTCTGTCGGTACTATTGTTCATCTCAGTTGTGCATTTGATAGCACCTGTGCTGGTGTTAGGCCAGAGCCACTGAGCTAAGGAACATGGAGCTCAGGGTAGGTGCTTAACGACTCCAGCAGGGCTTAATTAGCTGGATTCCTGCTTTATGTCCTCTTGCTGGTTGGGATTAGTCAATGTGCCTTTTATAAAAGTTATTTTTAAGAATTCCTGACCTGATACTATATTAAAGGGTGTGAAATTGCAGGGGGACCAATCCCAGTGCACACAAGTGGCAGCGATTTGCTGAGTTAACTCCAGGGTGAAGGATGGAAACCTGGGGACAGCAGAGGGTCTGCAGCCCAAGGCGGTGTGTGCCTTGTGCTGGTTCTTGTGGGATGGGATGAGTTGGTCCTACCCTTTTCACCCAAAGGAAGGAGTTTAACCGAGGGTATTTGTTGCAGGCAGCCTGGCTGCTGCAGAGGGATGTGTTTACAGGGGAGGGTTTTGCTTTGTTAGTCTTCTCTGCTGTCAGGAACCAGGTGTAGAAAATAATAACCCTGAATGCGAATGTGTGTGTCCCTTCTGATGACCAAGAAAGAACATTCTGTATGTTTTTCTGTGGTGTATATATATATATATTTGAAGCTGATCTTATTTACCATAATGTAGTGCAGTTCTAGGCACCTTGGACTTTTAAATTTCCACGCCGATTAGTTTGTAGCTCTCGCCAAAAAAAGGAATAGTGTACCCTTACTGGGATAGGTTTCTCCTGTGGTTTCCTTCCTGGACAATTAACTTGAGTGTGAAGGTGGACTTTGGACCTTGTGAGTTAGTCAGCAGTGTAATAAATAGCAGGTAGTGTAGGTGAAGTCCTGAGTTGTGTTGTGTGTGTTTTTTTTGTTTTTTTTTTTTTTGTGTGGTGTTACTGTCTGCTCTTTGACCAGTTCTGCAAACAGAGGCATTTCATGGCAGTTAAAGGAATATCAGCATGAACTACAATTCAGGTCAGGAAAAGGACTGCTTTTTTTGCAGTAAAACCTTAAGCTTTGGCAAACACCTGAACTGTTTGCAAAATATTTTCGTGAAGAATCTGCTATTTAACAAAACTGAAGAAATTCCCTGTGAGCTTTTTATGTCTTGAGTTGGTTGTGCAAAGCAGTTGCCCTCGTTTGGCTCTGGCCTGCTGTAAGACACATCTTTTGGGGTTGAGTTGGGTTTTGGCTTAACCTGATCCTCCAGAAATAAGCAGAGACCTGTCCAGAGATGGTGGTATGGCTGGGTAGGACTAGGGGGGGTGGGTGGTGGGCTGCACATAGTCTTCCTCATTTGAACGCTCTTTAATGTGATGCCCAGGTCACGGTTGACTCAGCGGTTTTACTAATGAGGTTATTAAGACTTTAATATTTCTGCTCTTTGCCTTTCCTGTGTTATCCAGAAGGTTTGGAGAGGAGCATCCCTCCAGGGAAAAGCCTGCAGCCTGGAAATGTGACCTTTTCTCCAGCAGTGCTCTCCTTTTTGCCCCTGATTTGTCCATGTTCAAAGTGTTCTCCAGCCAACTGAGACCTGCGAGTCATGGGGATGGGTTAAGTATGTCAAAGGCTGGACTATAGGACTGGCAACGTAGGTCTGTAAGCCCTTACTATGAGAAATACAAGCCCATAATTTGCAAGGTATGGCCCCAAAACCTTGACTTGGTGCAGGGTGGTGGGATGGTGGTGCAGCTTCTTTGGGACCATGTGGTCCGAACCTACCGTGTCACCATCTTTCACCACTTCTAACCAAATCGTGTTTGATTGTTTTAAAAACAATATTTATTTATTTTCTCCTCCACAAGCAGTGGGTTTTTTTTTTTTTTTTTCAGTACTGGCTTTTAGTTCCCCGTGCTTGTCCGTTTGAAGCTGGTAGTGCTGTTGGGACACTCAGACCCTGCTCTGGCAATTACAGCAGATCACCAACAATACCCTCTAACACACTGTGCTGCCCTCCCCAACTTTATTTATGGTGCAGGGCAGGTTGTAGGATGCCTTGGCTATGTCCTCCTTAATGCACGGCCATTGCCTCTTTCTTCAGTCTGTGTTTCATGTTCCCTGTGGGCATTGGTGGTGGTACTAGTGGGGTGGTTTTGTGTCTTCTGAGTGCTTGGTGTTGGTGTGGGTGGTTGGGAGTGTGGCTTGGCTCCTCAGTAGATGTGTGCAATGTCCACCTGTCCATCCTGCCTTTTGGATGTTCCAGCTTAGCTCTTCCCTGAGAATGTTTTCTTCATGCTTGAGGTTAACCAACCCTTGCAGCTGATGACTGCTTCCCATCCTGCTGAACCACGGGCGGCCCCGTGGGGCTGGTGCACTCCATGAAGGGATATGTTTCACTTCATTACTCCATCAAGGTGTGGAGCCAGTGCTTAAACCCAGCTAATCCATACCTTCACTCTTCCCTTGAGTCATCAGCCAGGCTCCTGTGTGATAGTCCCGCCAAGGTGCGAGGTGCTGGTAGGATCTGCTAACCACCATTTACAGGGCTGTTGGGAGCAGGATGTGTAGTGGATGAATCATGGCCACTACTTATTGAAATGACACATTACATCTCAGGGACGTGTCCTGGCGAGTCACCGTTCTCCAAGGAATAAAGACCCTTAATATATTTAAAGATGGCTTTTAAAAATCATGGGGTATGGTGGTGGATATGTCTGGTTTCTTCTGAAAGCCATACAGCGATGATTTCAGGTGGCTCAGGCAAACCTCCAGCTGCCAAATCCCTGAGCAGGCTGGACATCAGCCCACAGCTGGGGCTGCTGACATATGTCTTAGCAAATGAGTATTGAAAAATGTTTAAAAAAGAAAAAAAAAAGTTACAAATCCCCTGATCCCCATGCCTGCTGTGAAGCTGGTCCTTAGTGCTACGCCCCCAGCAAGCAGAAAGTCAGTGTGAGCGTATCTCAAGACAGAGAGTGGATGCAGAGCTACAGAGATGATGGAAACTCTAATTTTCAATCTAATTAAGCTGAGTAACTCCCTTGTGGATTTATGCTTCTTAATTACTTTGAACCCTGCTAACATGGGTGCTGTGGGTATTGCTGTTTTTTGGGCAGTGTGATGTCCAGCTGTGGCAGAGGATCGGTACCCACCGGGTGCTTTGGCGATGGTGTGGATCTCAGTCAAGGAGGCTTAATCTCCTGATGCGGTGGGGATGGAGAGCTGGAGGTGGCTTTCGCGTGGTGGTACTGGACTACTGTGGTCTTGGATAGATCTCATATCTCTTGGTAAAACCATGTGTCCTGCTTTAGAGGCAAGGTGGAGGTGCAGGAGAAGGTCCTGCTCTGGACCCACACAGACCTCAGTGGGAGGTAGATGTGTGTTGCTTATTGGTGTTGCTCTCACCAGCCTTTCCCCTGCTTGTGCAGTGTTGGTTTCTCACCTACCTCATTCAGGCTTTCAGTGACATGTTCAGTGGTAAGAAATAATGAAGGAAATGAAAGACCAAGTGGCACTCGTCCATCACTTGATTGGTGTCCCGTGTCACTGTGCTGTCCCCTGGTGTTCCTGTCTCCACCCGGGCTTGTAAGAAATCACTTCTCTGCTGGGATAGACCTGCATTACCAACAAGGCATGTTTTGGCTGAAGCAAGGCCTTTGACACTGCAGAAAAGCTCTTCTGGAATCCCTGGCTGCACACACGGGGT